CCTAAATGATTCTGTAATTCCATGACTCTTGACAGAAGGGTAAATACCACACTGAAAGCATATTTCAAGTGGCAAAGTTGTCAACCATGAGAAGGTAGTTGGGCTGTTTATTGAGCTAAGAGATACCATTCCAGTGCAGAATCCGTCTAGTAACAGAAGGAAGCAAAAACCCACAGTAGGATGGGGTGACAGATGGCAATAATTGCGCACAGTAGCTCATCTTAAGTACCTTAGCTGTTTGCTTTCACTTCTCAGCTGGACAAAACACTTTCCTGACTTCTGAATCATCCATGGCTCATGGCCAGGCTCTTAGTGAGCTGAAGTATATGGCATTGTTTCCTTTGCCTGACTCAAGTCCAAGCCAGGACGATCATGGGGGACTCTCCACTTGGCTACCTGAGCTGGCTGGTTAGTTGGAGGCAATACAGCACATGCCACGAGTGCATCTGTAACTTCCACAGCCCCCAGCGCCTGCTGATCCAGCAGCCTCTGCAGACACAGGCAGAGCATGCCCAGTGACAGACAGGGAGGACCCATGCAGCAGATCAGAGATAATGTTAAGGTCTGTATACAGACAAGGTCTCTCTGAATTCATCACTAAAATCAGAATGGGTGCAAAAGAAGCATCTGTGCTATTTGGAATCTTCTCTGAAAGTCCATGCTCTAAGTAGCCTTCCTGTCCTTCCTTCCCTCCTGCACACAGTATGCTACAAATATCTTGAGAGCCCCTCAGCCTATTTTTCCACCCTTCCATGCTCTACCCACCTTTTCCAAATATATCTTCCCAACTAAGACTGTAAATGCTCTTGGGCCTTGAAACAGGAACAGCCCAGTTCCCAGGTGGCTCACTTCTTAACCGTACCATGGCTCAGTCTTTCTTCAAAATTCATGCCAGCTCATTTCTTGAAAACTCCCCTCTCCAGTCTTCCCTCCCACTGTCAATATCCTAGCTGCATGCTCATCCTCAGCTACACTTGCACATGAATAAGTAACTGTTCCACAGGCAGATATTTCAGTGTTTGCACTTGTCTTTAGAAATCAAAGCCTTCTCTGATTAAATGCCATTACAATCCAGCGCTTGGACGGATCCAGAGAGATTAATGTGCTTTTGGGCAGCTTTAATGATAATCCTGCTACAGACGGTATTAAGTAAATGTCAGTAACCTGGTTTGAAGGGAGCTTTCACCTCAGGGATCCTTTCCATTTAGAGGAGAGAGGCTCAGCTTGCTTTTCAAGGCTGCATTGTCACACAAGAGAAATCCTGCTTAGTGAAGACTCCTCTTCCTCCGCCCAGTAAAACAAAACAGAGTAAGACAGAGGGATAGATAGAGAGAGACAGAGATAGAGAGAGAGATAGAGGTGATTTATAGGGAGCTAATGCATCTCTTGAAAGCCAGAACTGCTGTATATTATAAGCCATGTCACGGTTTTGAAACCGGTGTTGCCACCGCCTCCTCATGCTCCTTTGAGTGCTGCCTTTTGCTCACTTCACCACCATCACACAGAGTTCTTTACCCAGGGCAACAACAGCAGCAGCTGATACCGCACCTTGGCCGTATTTGTCCACACCTGCTACACCCTGCCAGAGGAGAGGTCTGGGCTCCTACCTTACCTTACTGTGGCCATAACAGACCTCGTTCCTCATCACGTGATTCTGACAGGCTCGATATTCCTGCCTTTCTACTGTTGCTTTATTGGCCATCCGTAAAAGTGAAACATTAATTTCGGGAGGCAGGGAGAGAAAAGGAAGAAAGAATAGCTCAGCGTAGGCACTGAGAGAGTTTGTGGAAACTCAGTCCTACCATTCTGCGGAGTCACATCCTATAACTGTAGTACAGGATGCAGTAGTAGAAGGCTGTTGACAACTTTTTGAAAATTACATCTTAGCCATCGTGTAGAGATCAGCTCAGAATCAGCAAACTAGGTGGTTTCATTGCTGCATGGAACCTATTGTGCCAAGACATCACAGAATGACCTTCCCAAAGGCACGGAGGAACAAAAAAATGAGCTGAATTTTCACCCTGAATCTCTCCTATTGCAAGCCAAAGTCTCTACAAGTTAGAAAAACTGAAATTAGCTGCTTCTCTACTTTATTTTGGCACATACTGGCAGCAAAACATCCCACTGAAAGGCTGAAGTAATTGAATTTTCCACCCTGACTGGCTGGAGAAAGCTATAGAAGACTGCAAAGAATGTTTTTCCCTGGGCTTCTCCAGACAAATTTGCTATCTGCAGTAGTTTGAGAAAATTCAAAGAAGCAACCAAGCTCCCAGGGAGCTACACTATGCCAGCTACCTCGATCTCAGAACAGATCTGCTGTCCAAGAATTGCGAGGAAGCCTAGCTCAAAATCTGAATCAAAGAATCACAGAATGGTTTAGGCTGGAAGGGACCTTAAAATCATCTAGTTCCAACCTCGTTGTACATAATGCTCATGAGTCCTCCTGCTAACACATCAAAACAAGCCTTTCTGACAGACTATTTGAAGACTTGAGGAATACTGACTGTTGTAACTGTAGACTAGATTTGATGTCTGCCTTTATAGCAGAGGAAAAGGATAAGATAAACTAGCTCAAAGAATCAACTCTCTCACTTTTGACCAGTTGATATGTCCAGGTAAATGGAGCTGACTGCGTGTTCCGCCATGGACAAGTCTTTGAAAATCTCTCTTGAGAGCAAAATCCAAGAGCTACCACATACCCAAGGGTCACACTATGGTGCTCTTTGCAGACCAGATGCATCATTGAGGAACTTACCTTGATAAATACAAAGAAAGATCATCAGCACAACACAGACACAGAGAGGGAATTGTGTCTACGTCTGATCAGCTAACAATGATCTCTGTGAATCTGTAATGAGCGGGAGAAGGAAAAAACAGTGACCCAAATGCTCCTAATTCTTCCTGATGGAGACATGAAAGGAGAGAGACTGCACTGTCTATGGGTGAGGTTGCAGTCATTTAAGTCCCTTGAATGAAAATGGACCAGACATCTTACAGGGAAGAGAGTATCGTTCACTATTACCCACTGACCCGGGTTTGTTCGTCACAATTACAATGGAAAGAGAGCCTCAAAATCTACTTTAACCTTAGACCTTCCTTTCCTGTATTTCTGTGGAGAAACACATGAAAAGGAGCCTGCCTTTCTGCCTGAAGAGGTTACTAGAATATATCTCATCGACTTATGCGGAGTGCAAGAGCAAAAGAAGAGGCGAAGAGAAACAGGCAAGTTACTCAGTCCTCCACCTGGAATCTGGCTGAGCTCTTTAGGCAGAGAAAGAGCTGCATGCTGACTTAGGGAGGCAGCTGAGAAGATACACTTAATGTTCTCTCCTTGCGAGGCATACCAAGCTCACATTTCCCCTGACTTAAGAGGTCTTTGGCCTGTCTCTAACTAATGCCGCATGAACTTTGCCATGGATAGAAAGGGAGCAGAGAGAGGAAAGAGCTGAGAGAGAGGAAGTGTTCAAATTTTGGAGGCAAATGAATGGACAGATTAAGTACAATTGATTTTATGCCATAGTTCTTTGATAGACAGTCAACCAAGTGCGGCTTTGATGCTCATCGATAGGTCACAAGGGGAAAGACAAGCAGCAATGCCTCAATCAGCACTCACTGACTGGGAGGGATGGCTTGACTCACTGTCCAATAGCTCAAAACCTCTTCCCCCTGCCATTTTCTCAGCCCTTCTGGGAATTAATAACCTTTTTTCTTCCAGAATCTCTCAGCCACAGAGAACCCAAAGTGCTCTCCCAAATTCATGCCGCACAGACAAACTATTTCATTCGCTGGGGAAATGTGGCTTCTGTAGGAATGAAATCTAGCAGCTGTTTAATAAAGGACTGCAAAACTACACAGTAATGTAGGACCAGTAAACAAGGAAAACACTTGCATCTGGAAGAAAAGAGATTTTGGAAAGCAGAAGAAAACAAGCCATGTCAAAATGTTATGCAAAGCACCATGGTTGAGGCTCCAACACTCTAGTAACAGTTATCATGTAAGACCTATGATTTATATTTCCTGCATAAGGTGACAGCTGTTGTGATATAAATCCTACATCCCATACATTTGTCCAGGAGAAAGGTAATGCAGAAGAAAGAGAAGGAAAGAAGAAAGACAAAAAGAGTCAGAAGATGAAGTTGTTCGTTTAGGATAACAGGAACTGCCATCTTGGAACAAACCATGGGGTTTATGTAATATAAGAGCATGGTCATCTTTCACTGCCTGTCCCCCTGAAGATCCCTTTAGCTGTGCAGCCTACAGGACAGTGTTCCCCGAAAGGGGTTATGTACTTTTCCCAGAAGCACAAGAACTGAGATCTCAGACTGATTGCTCTGTTCACCTCTGAATGTGCTCCCCTTCCTGCCCCCTCCTGTGCTGTCAGCCTCCGTTTTGAATCAACGTCAGCTGACGTCAACATTGGTTTTGCATCGCCCACCATGCCCAACTCAGAGATGGCTGAGAAACTACCTCGTTGACATTGATGCCATTCCTCTCCATGTAGGCCCTGTCATTCACCTGTCCCCCTTCCATAAACTCCATGAGAAGGACGCGCCTTGTTGACAGTTCCCAGTAGATCCTGGGGACCTGAAACAGGAACAGATGGGTTAGGTCAAACAACAGGCTGGGAAAGCAAGAAGAATGTATCACACACAACCCAGAAAAGGAGTAAAAATGGCTGAAGTGAGGACTTGGTTGTTTTCCTGATCACAAGGGTGATAAGTCCATCTACTGGCCTCTTCCCCGGGACAGCAGCAATGTGTGCAAGGACAACACACCAATTCAACACCAGCAGGATCTGTCCTCGTGCAACATTTCTGGCCATGTTCTAGAAGCTTTTGACCACCTCCCACTCCCACTGATGTCTGAGAGCTTTCTTATCTGCTCTGCAGCTCCTCTAGCTGTGTTGTTTAACTAGTACCCATTGCAAGTTTCTGAATCATCCACTCAGCTCCTTTAGACAGGAACTGCATCTCGTTTGCCACGCACAGGGCCCACTTATGCAGCAGTAAAAATGATAAGCCATTGTCATAAATTGTATCTCTGCAGTGCCCCTTGGAACACAAATGTCTGAGCTCACAAACCCTGCATACTCAGGCCATCTGCAATTGAACAGGGAGAAAAATCAAGTGTCAGAAATAAGGGGCTTGTCAAAGAAACCCTGTGAGAACCTTAACTATCTTATTGCCAACGTGACACAGTAACAAGTGTAAAATGTCAAAGCACTTTTCATTCAATCTGCAGCAAATCAAGCTGAGTGACGTACCAGTAAGAGGCCCAGTGTCACCCAGGGAGGCAGTGATGCAGGCGTTGCTGTCGTGGTTTAACCCCAGTCAGCAACTAAGCACCACACAGCCGCTCACTTAGACTGGCTCCCCCTTTTCCAGCCTCTCTCTCCAGCCAAATTCTTTCCATGCTGAAGTCCCTACTGTCAAGAGTCCTTTTCCTGAAGTTGCCCTTGGATACTAGTCACGTCACTGTGCTGGCCAATCCCACAAGCTGTCCAGATCCGACTTTGCACATGGCTGCAGCCACACAAGTACATTTTATCAAAGATACAAGGCAGCTCCACCCCTTGCCATTACTGTGCCCCATTACAGACATACACATTTTGGATCCCATAAAGATACCCAGCTGTGCAGCCCCCTCTCCTCACCTGCCTGCCTTGACTGTGGACTCAGGACCCGCACACTGCAAGGGTCCAGCACCTTGGGGCAGGACAGGAAGAGGTATCCATGTAGTGCCACCAAAGACAGGGGAACCAGCCAGGCCATTGTAGCTCATTGCAACTCCTGAACAAGCAGCATTTGTTTTACACTCTGCTTGTACCTGCTGACAGTGTCTCAGTCCCCCATAAACTATCTGCCTCCCCCATTGTTCCTATCCGAGAGAGACCATTTTCCCAATGTCACTCACTGCTACCTTACCATGTGTGTGTCGATATAGATCCAAGACTCCTCCCATGAGCAATTCCAATGACCCTCAGTCCCACCGTCCAACACTCCTGGCACACTCAGCATGTTAACCTTACATAGACTTTAATGCCAGAGACCCACGATGGGCAAGGGGGATTCAGTTACTCGCAGCCTTCACAGTTTATCTGGATGTCTGTTCTTTGCAGTCAGATTGGTGTGACAGCAAACCGACTCCAGACCTAAACAGTTCTGCAGCCCATCTAGCTCACTGATCCCTGCTGCCTTACATCATTTCAGGTAACACTCATTCTTGACTCAGGATTTACAGGGGGAAGTCAGTGGGCTTGTAAAGCACTATCCATGCTCTCGGAGATGCCTCTCTCACTCACCACCAAATTCTTCGATAATTTTCTTAATTACTCAAAGATGTTTGGCTGTAACGCTAGTGCATGGAAACAATTTATCTCTGGCTTTAAAAGCTCAAACAGCTTCACAGCACAAAATCTACTTCTCAGTTTTCTAGCGTGTTTAGGAAAATTAATGATACAGGAGCCCAATTCTTCCATTGCCTTTGGGTGATGAACACGCCCCTGAATTGGCAGGTCAGACGGGGGGGATCCATTATTTAGCCATCTCAAGCCATTTGTTATTGTTACACATATTGATATCATGATAACTCCTTAACCCAGCGAGGAGGTGACTGGCAGTCTCCATGGGGATTTACTTCACAGTATCCTAGTTAGAGCTCCAACAGATACAGCTCTCCAAGGTGCACCACTTCTGATAAGCACCCACTCTGCAAAATCACTGGCCTCTGGCCTTCTGCAGCCCTGGTGGCTTTTAGCTATCTGTGTCTAAGGGAAGGCCACTGTCTCCAGTGGGCTCCAGAAGGACTGCCCCAAACCTGGAGTGAGGTGACAAGGAATTACAGTCCTTGCATAGAGGAAGCAAGGAAAATAATGGATGCATCAACCTGTGAAGTCTAACAAAAACTCACCTCATTTCAGACATCTGTCACTTTCATCTTGGGAGTTCTGCACAGATAGGAAGTGAAAACCTCATTTTGAGGTGTGTATGCAGGAGGGTCCAAAGGAGGGTGCATTTTCTGGTGCCTTTGTGCACGTGCAAATGCAGGTATGTCAGTCACCGTGCCCACAGCACTGTGTGTGCCTGACCATACTTCTGTATTTCTAGAACGCACCCAGTAGAAGCTTGTGCCTCTTGTACGTCAGCACAAGATTTGTGCACGTCTGCATTTGAAGATGTGAGCTTATATCTTTCCAAGACACACGTACATGTCTGGTTGTACTTGAGACAGTTGTCAGTGACCTTAGTCAATGTGTAGCAGGGGGTGAGAGTGCAGTTGAGTTTGTGTATGAAGGTAACATGAATGTTATAGGCATGGATGGGTATGAAGGATGTATGCTCAATTCCAGAGTGAGAATGTGCCTTTTTGCAGGAAGAAGGATCCATGTGAACATGCTTCCTCCTGAGATACAGTGTCCCCAGTCCTACTTGATATCATCATCTTCAGTCTAGTCTTTCTGTTTTATGTCCATTTCTTGTCCTCAGTTGAGATAAAGCCCAGGAAAAGGCATCATCAGATGGCTCAGAAAGAATGGCAAATTCACAGGTGTCTGGCAAAGTTCAGAAACAGTGTTTGGGAAAATGAGTAGCAGGCTCCAGAGACTACTGGCTCCAAGCCACCACTCCTCATCCAATATACGGCGCCTACAGCAGGAAACAGACAAGGAGGAAGCATGTCTCAGAGCAGCGTTGGGTCTGTATCAGCAGAGCAGTCTAGGATAAACAACACAGAAGGACTAAACTCCATCATCCCTCTGTATGGTTCCTCCAGGTGATGAATGAGGTGCACAAGACACAAAGTGAGACTATCAATGCACATGCATACACAGAAATATGTGTTCCCTCACCTTCAGGAAGTCAAAGTTCTTGAGCATATGAGCAACCTTCTCAGCATTTCTGCCTTCATTAAGGAAATCCAGCTCCAAGGGCAGATTTTTCTTCGCTTCTTCCACTAGCCACATGAACTCAAAATCTGGAAAGATCTGCTTCACAATGAAGAGGAGAACCTGAGAACACGTGAACAGACAGTCATCAGCTGCATCCTGGCTCCAAAGCCATGCAGCTACACACAGTGCTGTTTTGATAGGATCATTCCAGATAACTTAGAGACAAAAAAGAACAACCTGCACTCCGAGTGCTTTTAGGGTTCCTGCAGTGTCATAACACAACACATGGTGTCATGCCTTGGTTGTGCAACAGAAATTTTGGCTTGCCCTTCCACACAGGCACATCTAGGAGTTAAGTGATGGCAGAGACACCAAAGGGAGCCCAGCTACCTGCTGCCTAGAGTTAAGACAACAAAGCCCTGGAGAAGAGACCACATGGCCAGATCTTGCCCAGGAGCAACTCTTTTCTGAGTCCCATAATTCTACAAGCCACTGTTTGGCTTCATCCAAACAGCCCTCAGATCATTCAGAAGAGGAAAATCTAAAGTAAGACTTGTCACCTCTATGTTACTTCTTCCACTGCTGAGCAAGAATTTTGCTAGCACAGAAAATCCACTGGGTAGTTCAGAGAAGATGGTGGAGTTTGGATACAGGCAGTAGATGACAGATCGTTAAAGGACACTTCTGATGGGGGGCAGAAGTGAGCTGCTCCTCAGCATCAGTCACAGCCATCCTCAGCAATGCTGAGGTGGTGTTTTCTAAGTATCATATATCCACCACCTAGCATCCTCTTCTTCTTAAAAGGATTAGGCATTCACCTGCACGGGGCCTTGAAAAGCCCAGCCAAAAAGTTCCCGGAAACGTTTGCTTAAAGTAGCATTTAAGGGGTGAGTGATGAGCAGTCCTTCCTGAAGAAAATCAAGATTATGTAACTGGATGGGGCAATGAAAGCTGCATGACAGCCAAGCATGCTTTCTGTCCAACTGAAGGGCCAGTTTCTCAACCAACGTCACAAATTTACACAAGCTAACAAGTTGGACCACATCTTAAGGAAAATAATTTGCTTGGGTTTTTTAACTACTTGAGTCATAAAACAAGAGTAAAACATAAAAATGCAATCCACTTTGCTGTCTTTATCTTGCTTGTTCTGTACATCCATCTGAAAATGAGAACAGACTTGTCAGTGTGCGTTCCTGGACAGTTTCCCTTTCTAGATCTCCACCGCTGAGGTGGGAATTCCTGCACTGCAGGAGGAACGTTTAAAGCACACACAGAAAACTGCTATCATCAAAATGTACGACAAAAAATAAATTTATGAACCATCACTGCTCCTGTTCCGCTGTGTGAAAACGTTTGTTCTCCACCCCTGTCTCTACTTCGCTTATCTAAATGTCAGTTCCAAACTCAATGTTCCTTTAAAAATGTAATCACCAGGTTCCAGACACTATTGAATGATTTTTCTACTGTTATATCTGAAGGCATAAATCCTTTCAAATTTATGTCACCCAAATGAAATGTAACCAGCGATCTTCATGAACATGTACATAAACTTTATAGGGGCCGCAGGATTATTTCATTGGTGCCTGATGTGAGAAAATTCATGCATTGTTTTTTGCTTTCTTTAAATGCTCTTTTGAATCAATTTGCCAACTTGACCATTGGCAGGAACATACTGAAGTATTTGGCCTGTCCCTTTTCTGACATCTGTCTAACGTGTTGTCTCAAAGTAAGTATCGATGTAAGAAGAGGAGTGATGTATCTCTCTCTGGATTTATCAGATGCTGTACTGATTTTTAAAGAGTCAGCACTGATGCTATGAAACCTCAAGTGAATTTAGGAATTTTCCATCTAGCTTTTCCCATTCAGATTCCTTCCCATCAGTCTCTAAATAAGACCACCTCCATCAATATTCAAATCAACCTCCTACCTCGCTGCTATGTCTGTTTAAATTCTTAAACAACGAAAAGCTCAGTGCACCTAACCTGACTTTCAGTGCAGCCCCCACAAAAACAGTCCCACACAAGGACACGATGATGTCTGTAAGCCAACACTCCACAAGAGACCCTCTAAAAGCAAGACCACGTGTCGTGTTGTGAGATACTTTCCCATAGCTGTGTGTATGGAGCAGATCTCAAGGATGACAAACTAGACTGTCTGTAGAGGATGGACAATATTAAATTGCCAACAGGAAACACACTGTTTCAGGTTTCCTGGGAGGATTAATCTAAACCCAGAAAAGACAGGAATCATTCTAAAATTATTTGTTTAAGTGTCTCTCAGCAGTATAACCACCAATCACAGCAACATAGGGTGAGGAGGGATTTTTTCTGTGAAACCCACTGTTAAAAGGGCCAATGTCCCAAGGTGGATCCAAGTCTTGGTCCATTCATACACAATGCTCTTATTGCCGTGGTCTCCAAGTCTTTCGGTACGTGCCCATCCTTCTTCCTTGACTGCTTGGTTTCTGCCATCCTTCCTGGGCAGGGGTGAAGGATGTCATAACTCGCTCCACCCGAGAACTGCCGTGCATGGGATGACTCACAAAAGCAAACTCAGTGGGCAGACCACTGCAGTCAGTCCTGGAGAGGACCTGGATCAAATCCAAATCTACAGCTGGACCCAAAGCCAGTTCAGAGAGTTCTCTGTTCTCAAACCAGCACTGAAAGAGACATATCCAGTCTTACTGGGATATCTTTACTGAACCCAAAAATTTCTTTTCCTATGAGTTCAAAATAAATATTCAGCCGCAAACTGATGTGCTCCAGCTGGAACCAGCTGGGCTTCCTTGCAGACTAGCCAGGATTGCTCAGAGCAGGGTGTTTTAGCTACCTAAAGAAGCTTTAGTTATGTGCTCCTCTGACAGGGTGCTGGCAGGGTCTTTGATTCCTGATCCCCTGTGTTTGAGAACTGTGTGTCATTGCATCGCTAGTACCCTCTGAACACTTAATCGGACCCTCTCAGCTTAATCTTCCCCTTTAGTGCCACGAACATACCTGTCTGCCAATGGATGTGTACATTACTGTACTATACGTACAGGTATATGCTTATCAGGAGAGCTAACAGCCTTAGTGTTACCATTTACAGACCTGATCCTTCCCCGCTCCTCTACCTCAGCCCTGTCTCCATTTCCTGTTCCCTACCATACTGCTGGCATTTTTGACTATTGCAATGCAGTGCAGTGCCACAGCTTTTCTCCAGCTCCTCCCTTCAATGGGCTAGGTGTAAAAGTTTGGGAGAAGCTACAGCATTGCCCTAGAATTATGAGTGGTACCTACCATTCAGGAGAGGAACAGGAGACAGTCACTGAAACTTTTTTCCTAGCTGAATCCCTCATTTCGGTGTCTGTCCCTGCTAGGTGACCCCCTCCATATTTCAATGGTTTTGTTTCCAGCATGAATCAGCTCAGCATTAAGGAGCTGATCAAGAAAGAAAACTGAAGCACGGCAACATTGGCCACTGTTGAATCCACATTGTAATTTAACTGAAAAAAACATGCTAATCATGGAGAATGAGTTTTCCTTGTCTACACAGCCCTGACTGCAAGGGGAACTGAGACCCATTTAATCAACGACTTAATGGGCATACAGGCTGAAGAGAGACTTCAAGACTCACTCTTCCGTTTTTATATCTCACATGGACTTACTCTGATGTCATACACGTTTACCTGTCTTCTCCTTCTGCCCTCCTTCAGTCTTACCTTCTTGTCCAGTCTCTCCATCCACACAATTTCCCACACCGCAGTGCTCACCAGCTTTCTGTATTATTCCCATAAGATAGCATTTCTCTCCATGGAGTTTTCAAAGCTACAGGATGGCGTTGTTACACCTACTTATTCCATGGGTGAATGTGGCACGCACACGTTTCAACAGCAATGGCTCTGTAAGTCATAGTCAGCAGGTAGGTTTACCTCCATGAGCAAAATATCCTTGGAGCTCTGAGCTTGGACCTTTGGGTGCTGGATTTTCACTGCCACAGTTCTTCCATCCTGCAGCACTGCCTTGTGCACCTGAGCTAGCGATGCTGCTCCCAAGGGAGTGTCCTCAAAACTCACAAAGAGTTCTTTTATCTGCCAGGAGAAGAGAAAGAGGCATCAGCTTGGGGTCCAAGAGAATATCCTAAGGAAAGCCCTACCCACAGGCCAGAGACAGCGTGTGCCAAAGCTGGGCAGGCCCAGCCCCTTTCATCCTTCCCCTGTGCCCTGCCTGAGTCTTCTCACTCCTTGGCCTCCCAGTGACGCCTGCCAAGCACAGGAGTGCCCTGGAGATACTCTGCTTGTGGAAACCTGAGGCAGAGCCCCAGAAGCTCATTTCATCTAGGAGACAGAGTAGCCAGGCAGCATGTGAGTGACCCCTCCAGGCTGCCCTGAAAATGGGTTGGAGCAATTATGGTCAGCATCCTTGCTTGTTATTGGGTGCAGAAGCCAAAAGCTGTTCCTTTGCACGTATTTTTTTTTTTAAGTTACTTAATATAACCCACCGTCACCCCCTGAAACTTGACAGTGTGTATTCCCATGCATTACAGCAGCATCAGCTAGCTCAGGTGATGAAAGCCAGCACATGGCCGGGAGCAACGGTAAGGGCTGGATTCAGGGCAGGGGGACAAAAACTGCAGTTTGCACCTCTGAAGACTTGGCCCGAAAGCATGTTTTACGTGATGGACTTTCTCACACATCCAATAAAAGTACCCAGTGCTCTCAGCTCAGAAAAAGCACCAGGTAGGGACAGCAAAGCAATTTGCAGGCAGGAGAGGAAATTATTAGCAGCTCTGGCTGTGAAACTCGGGACTAGACTATAAGGGAAGTTGCAGATGAAGAAGTAGATTTACCAGTGGGATGTCCAAAAGCCTGGACAGATGTGGGTGAGGCAATGGGAGATGGGCAAAGGCTCACTTGTCCTGCATAATACAGCACCCAGCTAGGGACCCTCAGTGCAGCACCAGCAGCCCAAGCCCTGGAAACACTGTTAGCATGTAGTGCGGTATCAGCCTGGCTCACTAGCCAGGCTGCTCTGCACAGAGGGAATGCCAACACGGCAATGTGTCTTCAGGCACAGAGCTAGCTCCGGTAGTGAGTGCTACTTGAGGGTTTCTGTCCTGCTCTGTAAAGCAAGGTGCACACAAGCTTTCAAGTATCAGAAGTCAGCAAAAGGAACGTGTCCCATCCCTCCCGCGGGCTGGACTGATTTCGGGTGAGCAGTTGAGAAGCCTGTAATTTATGCAGTAACACAAAAGAAAGAATGTCAGTGCTTTTTTATAACCTGCTTTTTAAAAGGTAATTAAAGATGGGAGCTGCAGCAAGCTAGTAATTAAATATGAATAAAGACCTTCTAAGCAAAGTCTTCATGCAAAGCGTTAAACGAATATTCTTTTTGCTGACAAGGAAGAAAAATACTATACAAGGAGCAGCCTGTTCCCTCCTGCAGCTGCCAGGGAACGAGCCCCCTCCCACACCACCCTACCCCTTCTCTCCCAGCCCCTTCCACAGAAAACTATTGCTAGCAACAAACTGGAGCATTTGCAGCAATTAGATTCCAACAGAGACTCAGCTGCTTCCAGTAATTCCTTAGGAAGGTGCATTTTATTTATTTATTTAATTCCCTTCAGTACTGGCGGCAAAATCAATTAAGTAAAACAACTGCATTTAAAAACAACTAGTTATGTGTTTTTTAATTACAGCAGGTCCATAACTCAAACCTACAGACATTCGTGTCTCCAGAGAAAAAAGGTTTTTTTCTCTTTCCCCCTTGCCTTTTCTTTTCTCTCTCACTTCTGGATTTTGAGATTCTCGTTTCAGATTAATTTAAAGAAAGAAGCACCTACAGGATGACAGATGGTTCAGGGCACACATTTTCAAGACACAGGGACTTTTACCTTTATGTGAAGTTTGTCTATCAGCTGAAGAGAGGACCTGTTAAGGGGAAGAGTCAAGATGGCCAGGAGCTTGTTGGGCTACTGCCATCCAGAGGGATCTTGAAAGGCTGGAGAGGTGGCCCCGTATGAACCTCATGAAGTTCAACAAGGCCAAGTGCAAGGTCCTGCACCTGGGTCGGGGCAATCCCAAACACAAGTACAGGCTGGGTGGAGAATGGATTGAGAGCAGCCCTGAGGATGCCAAAGGTTAAAGCACAGAACTGGGAGTTCACTGGCCTGAATCCACTAAGGTACATTTATAGTAAAACCACATGTAACTGGATAAAATTCCATCTGCTCTGGATTTCAAAAGCTTTTAATTGCTTACACTATCAATCCAACCATTTTCAGTACTGAACGCATGCAGGGGAAAAAAGCTCCACATATTCCCTCTGGCAGGAATAATATATACCATATTCTTGCGTGACTAAGATTTCTAAGGAAACATCATCTGAAGAAAGTTGTCTCTAGGAGTTCTTTTGGGCAGAAGGACTTCATTTAAAAACTTGTTATTCAGGACATGAAAGCCAGGCTAGCAGTCAGTCCGTCAGAGCCAGCCCCGTGGCCCTGCTGCAATTCAAGAGGGAAATCTGTGTGCACCCCTGGGCTGCAGGCGAGGGCAGCAAGGCGCGGGACCGCAACAGGGCCAGAGAATTGATGGCTCCTCCAGGAGCAGAAGGGTAGAGCCTGCACAGGGAGGAGGGAGCAGATCGCAGCCGGGCCATTACATGAGCAGGTGTGAGGCTGAGATAAAGCAGCAGCACAATTATGGCTGGGCTCCAGGACCCCCCACTTAGCAAGTCACCCTCATTCATTATGAAATTGTCCTTCCGCAGGCTCGCTGGAGGCAGCAAGTGCCTGTGATGCAGGCTGCATGTACCAGACAGGCAAAAGCAAGCGAGGCTGTACGACGTGGAAGCAGAGAAGTGAGCCAGGCTCCCATACTGTCTACCGGAGAGTGGGGTCCTTTCCAAGGGAAGGTGGTTGCACCCACTTCATGCAGGCTGCAGGCTCTTACTGCTCACAGCACCCAGCTAATAAGCACCCTTACAAAAACTCTAACCATCATTTCCAGGATGGATAATTAGCAAGCAAAGGTCGGGGACAGTCTCAGAGCCCACCTGACGTTGTACTTAAGGAACTCTTAGGCTTCTTTCAGGCCACGGCTGGTCTCAGAGGGCCTTATCAAACTGGCTGTTACCATCTTTAATACTGGCAGGAGATGAAACAAGCATAGTTTCCAGCCAGGTTTAATAAAGGTTTAGAAGAGAGAAAAGGAACTTCAGGACTGCTCTGTCAAAGGAGCAGGACAGCCAGCTGCAGGTTTACAGCTGTACTATGTGTCCCTGCACGCAGTGGTCTCCCTCACTAGCCCTCTGCACAGCCAGCTCCCCATCGGGCACGTGCTCCACCAGCAAATGAATGTGTCACTGTACTTCACTGGCTGGAAACACCGTTTAATTCTAAAGAATGAAGCTCATTTAATTTTAAATATGCAAAATCTTTTCATGATTGTTGATATTAGTATTCACACCTCAGGGAGCTGATATAAAAGCTCTTACAGGATCTATCTACTTAGACACTTATTAGTATGTATTTGTGCTGAGGTTGCACCTAGAGACCGTCATTAAGCCCAGAGAGCCATTGTACGAGGTGCAGAGCCACCGCGGGCCCTGCACAAACCCACGCTTTTCAGGAGTCCCCAGCTGTCACCCACAGGCCTCCTCACATACTGATGTGCCTTCCCAAAGCACACATTCCTCTGCCCAAGGTCTGTGGTTCACATCAGCTGATGCTGCAATGCTGAGCATCAGAATGTCTCAGTATTCTTTGTGAATCCCGTCCTTAAACACTTAGGAAGTTACTGGAAGTCAATTGGATTTAAGCTCCAAATCCCAAGTCCTTTCTAAAAGTATTGCCTTACATGACCTGCCCAGCATGTTCTCAGAAGTCTTTGACAGAGATGGGATTTAACCCAGATATCCCAAGTTCCAGCCTGATGTCTTAATCTCCAAACCATAAACGTTAAACATGCATGTCTTGCTAGCTAATTACTTTTGAAATATACTGCCTCTTAATCCCAATCTTTTTATATCCATGCACTGCAGCAAATGATCAAATATTACCACCTGGTTCCAACCTGCCTACTCCACACAGAGGTATGCTTCCTTCCCTCTCCAGGAAGGCTGCTAGCAAGGTGCACTGGAGCAGGAGCTCCAGGATGGATTCCCGTCCTGATCCAGCACTATGTAACACCATCCTGAGTGGAATGTGGTGGCTCTGCTCTGCCACAGTGATCACAGCAGATGAACGGTAGCCATGTGTCAGCAGGCTATTGAGGACAAACGTAGGGTGCAGTGGAATGCAGGATCACTAACAGAAGGTGTCTCACCAGCCCAGCCCAGTTCAGCTGCCAGGCTGAACTCCTTCCAGCACGGTGCTCCAGACCCCTGTATGTGGTGCAGCCAGAATAAGGCCACTATGGGGTCAAAGTACGAATATTTTGCATTAACAGTCCTATCCAGGAGGTCCCCAGCAGAATCCAGAACAGTTTTGAAAATTCTGGTTTTCCACAAGCACTTACAAAGAGCCTTTCCTCAACTCTGCCAGAGCTGAACCAGTCCAGTACAGGTGGGGTCAGCCAGGAGACTTTCAAATGCTCAGCATTTCCCAGGGAAAAAAAGTCCTTCACCAAAGCATTTCAAAACTGCCTTCAAATATTTCCCAGGACCTCAAAGGACTCTTCAGCCTGGAAAGAGAGACAGTGGGGAAGGAATGTCACAGACCTCTATAAATCACTTCCGACATGGAGAACAGGATTGGAAATGCTCGTTCACTCCATAGAAGAACTCGGGAGCAGCAAACTGTCAACTAGCACACCAGACTACCAGATGGCAGGATTAAAACAAGCAAAAAGAAGTACTTTTTCCCCACACCAAGTAAGCTGTGGAACTCATTGCCACAGGATGTTATCAGTACCAGAAATCCAGGTGGGTAGATAATTCAATGAAGAAAATCCATCACAAGTTATTAAACACCAAGATACAATCTCTGGCCCAGGAAATCTCTAACCTTCAAATTACTGGAAGATCATTCCAGGTAAAGCTCAACTGTATTCCTGCCATACTTTTATAGCCTTTCTCTCTTAGCCAACACTAG